GTTTAGATTGCTTAAGACTTTCTCTCTTCTTTCTTTCCTGAAGAAGCTAGAGTTGCTCTCGGCTACTCCTCGAGCAACTCTTACGCATCTTTCGTGCTCTCCAAACTTCCCGCGTGCTTCATATCTCGATGAACGCACGCTGACGTATGAACCAATTGTTAATTAGTTGGATGCGCTTGTAATATCTTGCTGTTTATCATGAAATTTCTTCTCCACTATTTTCTGCTCCCTTTATAGAATAAAGACTTAACAAAGGAGGAATTATTATTATTATTATTATTATTATTTCAGTATGTTTTTCTTTTAATCTGAAGAGGGAATTGTTCTCCTTTCCAAACCCTTAACTTTTTTATCCATTCAAATTTAAATACATACCAACTCAAATGGGGGTAACTGGGTCTTTATTGCCTAAGACCATACGCAATGCTCCCCATGATAGGGAGGTGAATAGAAGAAAAAGAAATTTTACAGATTGCACTAAGTACAAACAACGTTAGACGCTCGCTGATCGCAAAGAGAATGCTGACAAATATGCCAACTGTTCGATTATACCCGCCGGGCGTGGCGTAGAATTTCCGCTGCGGTATTTAATTGTGATAAACAAGTCTATCACCCACTAAAAAAAAAATACCTCGACTCCGACTCAATAGGCGAACTTTCTATTATTCTATAAAAGGTCTAACGAATGAATTTGATAGATTTGCTAGTCACAAAATGGCTTTTAAGCCACTATCTTCCTTTTGAATATTCCTTTGCACGTTTGTGAGGTATTCAAAGATGTAAATTGATTAAGGAGGAACAAGTTGTGGGTAAACCAACTTTATACTTTAAGCTTACGGCCCGACACAATATACGCCATTTTGGATTATGCTGAAAGTAATTCCACATACTCTTAGGCAGAAATTTTCCCCATCATCACTCACGAATTTCATGACTAGAGTAAACCAAAGAGGGAAGGCAGGAGATAACGCGTTTATTCCAAGGTTTAAAGCTTAAATTAATTATCTATCTGATCCGAAAATGGAGTGAGTATACTACTAATATAGCACATTCCCTACTGCATTGAACAGAGGTAGGTCAAGGTTGTATAAAAACGCTAAAAGGTATTGTTCCAGAATATCTGTATTAAAATGCAAAGCAGAAAACTTGAGTGTCCTGCTCTGTAAGAGAAATAAGGTTTAACATTATAGCGACTATTTGACATTCAACCTATAATCAAATAGAAAAAAAAACAGTTATCATGATTATCCGATATTAACAATGATCATAGCAATAAAATTGTTTGGTAATTTGTAGGGGCTAGCTCAAAAACCTCATTGTTCCTCTTTCCTCAGTTAGTAATACTACTCATACCTGTATATTAAAGATGAACCATAGCCTCCATTTGCCGCGAAAATATGCAAGGGGAACAAGGAGCCTCGTGGAAGAGATAACTTCAAAGACAAATATACGAACACATTTTCGCACGAAATGGAGGTTATTGTGTATGTTATCCCTCAAATATACTTCAACACACTTTGTGCGTTTATGGTTCCTAATCCTATCATGTTTTTATTTCAGTTCGCCTTAGATTCGCATAAGGTAAGCTCAGCCGGGTCCCAGTTTTTATTTTTGTCGGCTATTAATTTCCTTTTCGAGAGAACTTTTTTACAAACAGACGAGCGGAAAACTGTGCTTTGCACATAGATTTGTTGTTTTCAGAGCTGCGGGAGCTCTTCTTTGTTTTATTTCCCATCGCGAGAAAAAACCTGCCATTAGGAGAGAAAAGGTTTTGCATTTTGAAATCTTTTGCATGGGTAAAATACCTCTTTATTTTGGTGCTGGAAACCTATCGCAGAGCACCAATATTTCTTCGTAAACTCTTGCAACATTTTTTTAAAAATTCGTGATCAGGAAACGACAAATTCAGTATTAATAAAAAAACATTTACACACATTTCAGTTTAATTCGGTTGTATATCGTCTTATTTGTTCTAGAAAAGTTCATTTCCAGCAAGAACTGCGAAGGGGAAAGTGATATTAGTGACGATAATGGGATCCACTTTCAAAAACCTTGGCTTTCCCTTGATGGTTAAAGATATGGATCCGAACTTACTTTCTGAAATATTTAATTTTACAGTGTTATGATACTTTCGTCACTGGATGATGACAACTCAAAATGAATTACTTATAAATCAATTATCCAATTGTAAAACGTATAGCAATAATTCTCACTGTAAATATGAGTAACACTAAAGTCACTTTGTGATCCAATTGTGTTGCATATCATGGGACAAAAAGCAAATGATGAACACAGATGGAAACGGAATGAATGACACAAGACTCAGTTAGAACAGTTCACTAATAATCTGAACCGAAAGTGAGGTTCTTGAACCAGCACTTTTGTTTTTAAGAGCTTTGACATCTGCCCTTGACCATGAGGAACCATGAGCACAATTTTTTATTCCTCTTTTTTGTTAATGATTTATTTATTTATTTATTTAATTTTTGTGATCTGCGGTATTCCTTTGTAGCTACTAACGCTAAATGGTTCAGTTCTCTTTTTTTTTCGTTCAACAATCGCTGTCCTGGTAAGAATCTTTTTGCTAAAATGAATATTTCTATACTTGAAGAAATATATTTGCACAGTGATAATTATTCTTTTCATTATCCAACTACACTCCATAGAGTACAAATAAGGCTATAGACGAGTACAGGTATCACTCGGTATTTTTACTCCAGAAAACCGGATAGACAGGTTTTCTCGCATCGCCCAAGCGAAGAATTGAATTGAAGTTACGAAAAAAAAAATAGCGGACAATTTGAATCATGTTTCTGAAAACGAAGAGTCGGAATAGCTGACAAATATAGACACAAGTCTATTGGATAAATCGAACGAAGAAAAACAACTAGACGACCAGTGAATTTCTTCACTTATTGAAGGAAATAGAAACAGCAACACGACGACGCGCCAATTCCGTACCGCTTCGCATACTACTGTCACGCACTCCTCGTAGATAAATAACCGTGAAGTTCGCCCGCACTGAAACAACAATTTGGCGTGTTGGATAATAAATAACATATTAGGTCTTTTTTTTATGTAATATCGCACAAAAATACGGCACAACTCGTAAAAATACTTAGCGATACTACACAGCAAAACGTCTAATAAGAGATATTTATTTCACTGACTTGAACTCCACCATAGCAAATAGTTTTTATTTTGATTGTGACGTGTTTATGCTTAGTCTACCATAATTATTTAGGGGCGAAGACGCTTGGATGGCCCCAATATCGATAAAGTTCGGCCAAAAGTTTACTTACCGTGGCGTAGTTTGTCAAACATCTTGAGGCTGATAGTTTTACGACCAATCCAAGCGAAAACAATTTAGACGATACTTCAAAGATAAGACGCCGATTGTAGCAACACATCAGTTTAATGAAAATAGGAGTTAGCTACAATTGCTTTTTTCAGCTTACAAAAAAGCGTTAAGTAAGGCGACGCTACTGTGTTGAACTAATTTTGCTGAAACTGAGCGATTTAAAGAACTCGTTTTGAATAGAATGATTAGCAAAGGAGTAATTACTTCCGCTCTTAAAAAAATCAATTTTATTCAAACGAGTATGGTAAAAAGACCAGAAGCGGTTTCAGTTTTCACTGTTTTCAGCAACCTCTGCAAACGACAGGTATTGTACGTACTAAAATACCAACCTGTAACCAATAGAACCAGAGTGTACTTTAGCTTTTCCACTCTTTTACCAGTGAAAGAAAATGTATATAAAATGATTTGGGAATAATTGGTCAACATTTCACCCGTTTGTTACTTCAATTTTGTGTAAACCTAACTCCGAGTGCTAATATCTTATGAGAAAACGGCTATAACAGGTACACTTGCTTATACGTTGAAGTCTAAGATGGAGGCAAGGACAACTAAAAATTCAGAATTTGGTTTCAATTCGTAGTTCTTTCAGTCATTGTCATTTCAGTCATATTTGGGGGTTTCTGCCGACCCCTTTACTGGACTGCTTTGTCGCAAACAGATGTCTCCAAGGTGAAGCAAACGTGATTTACGGACTTAAGCCAACAAATTCGAGTTTTATTGTACCAAAATGTACCCCATGGCTTTAATACTTTTCCTCCCTTTGTCTGAACTATCATCCGTTGCCTCGTTTCCGCAGGATTTTGCATCATTAGGGTGACCTCCTGTGCCAAAGCCTATAAAAGAGTTGCAAGATTGACAGTCTTTCTCGTTATTGCTAACAATACCAATTCTGGTTTTAGAACGATTCATCCAACTACTAAAGGCATTGAACCCTTCCATGTTGCAGTGTTTCTGTAAAGAGGCGTCGCTACCAACCAACTCTTTCCACTTGTCGCGACCCAGTGAAGTGTTGCGGTAATGGCCATCAGCGATCAGTGAGTGCAGAGAGTCGGCTTGCTTGTTGATGGCAATGAACCTGAGCTTTTGGTCGATCTTCATACCGAGACAAATCTTGGTAAAAGATGTGTTCCAATAGGTGGGTAGTTTTGATTCCTCTTTGTCAAACCCAGTCTTTCCACCGGGAAGGTTGAATTCTTCGAAATTGCTCCAATAATTTGCGTCGTAATGGAAGGTGGACTGAAAAGAAACACAATTTAATTATGTATTTTCTCCGAATTGACGGATATTTGCCGTCTAAACCCTGTCGTGTATCAGCATTCATTAATTCCTTACTCTTTGTTCAGCCGTAGGATGTCGTACAGTTTCGCTTAGTGGATGGATGATGATAGACGTCGCTATCGTTTAAAGAAATTGGAATCCTTATGTTATAAAACAACAACAAAACAAAACAAAACAAACAAACAATGAAAGGGTTTTTGGTCGTGTCAAGGCGACCAAGTATGGTCGCCACAGTCCATTGGCCTACTAAAGCGAGTTGAAAACGTGCAGCGTCGTGCAACAAAACTAATTTTGAAGCTCCCTTTCCGTTGCGGTGTCACCAACAAGACCCGCCTCCAACTAACAAATCTGTTGCCCATCTCATACTGGCATGAATTTTTGGACGTAGTCTTTTTCTACTTAACAATTGGTTCATGCTTTAGCGTGCACTATCGAGTTATGGAGCACGCGGGAAGTTTGGAGAGCGCGAAAGAAGCGTAAGAGTTGCCCGAGGCGATAGCCGAGGGCAACTCTAGCTTCTTGAGTGCTCTCTAAGCTTCCCACGTGCTCCATAACTCGATAGTGCACAGCTGAAAGCATGAACCAATTGTTTTAGAACATAGCCGGTGGAATTGTGCATCAAATGCGACGCGAAAAACGGACAACAATATCAGTTGAAGCGAATCGTGACGGCGCTGATGCCGAGTCTCCTTTTCCTTTGTTTTTCTCTTTTTCTGCCTCATTTAAGAACTCTAGCCCATGGGAAAAGGTCGAAACATCGTCTTCGTTTTCGGATTAGCAGGCCGAGTTTCTGTTTGTATCCGTTATTGTCGCGAAATGTATTATTTTTCCCCGCACTAGCAATGGCCGCTTGCGCGAAAAAAAAATTTCTGGCGAAGTCGGATTTGTTGACGCTATCAGCGTGCACTATCGGGAATTTGAGCACGCTTACGTATAATGAATTTGATTGCGCGACTCTGCTAGCTATGTTCTAATTCAATATTACAAAAAGGCTCTGAACCTGTACGACGTGGACGACATTAGAACCTGGAGAACAATCTGTCCTATGTGCAACACAGCGAGGTCTCTCCTATGCCCGCCAACGTGCTGCTTCTAGCGATTTGGACTTCCTTTTTGTTTCCTCCTAAGTTTTCTGCTTACATATTAGTAGATTTAATTATTAACTATTTTTTATATAAAAAATTAATGAGGGATCCGTTGTAATTAATTACGCTGTAGTGGTCTCCCTGCCTAATAATTTTTTCTCTTTTTTTTACCTTTTCTTTTTTAAGTTGTATTCTAGTTAGGCGAAGTTAAATAAATAAATAAAGTGATCCTACAACATGCCTTCTCTTATGTTTCTCCCACAATGTCCCGACTCATTGGCAAGTTAATTGGCAGTAAATTTTACTTGATTTTCATGAAGTAAATTAGTCAATAACTCTGTGCACCTTATAGCCGTTGATCTTCATAACTGGTGTCCATCCTCCATCTCCACATCCAAAATCACCCGTGTGACAGAAAACGGAGACTGGTTTAGAGTCAACGAGAAGGGTAACCACAGCATTCCTATTGGTTCTTTTAAATGAAAATGAAAAAAAGGAAACAATAATAATGTAAGCAATGATGGTGAAATAAAACTAGATCTTATGAAAAATAATCATGATTAAAATAATTATGGGAATGAAAATTAAAATAAAAAAAGATACTGAGTGATAATGACCAGATTCAACAAATAGGTAAATGAATAGTTGATCATTTAGCAAAATACGTCAATAACTGCGAAATGTAAACAAAAGCCTTCATAGCAACAATGCTCGGTTATTTGTCTGAGCACCTTATCTGTTCCGGGAAGTTAACATGTTAATTTATTTCATACACACTGAAATCTCAATACGTATGAAATGAAAACATCATACAATTGGAGGCGCTTGAATAATTTTTGTTCACTCTTTGCGATGCATGAATACCTACTCGTTTGCTTCGCTCACTCGTTACTTTTCTCATGTGTAGCACTCGTAAATAAAAATCATACGCGCGCACTTTCCATGTTTGAGGGCATCAGAAATTTTTCAACTCTTCTGTAAGAATAGGAATGCACTATTCTAAAATGAATCAGTTTTCCTCTTTTTTTTTCTCTCTTTTCTGGTGGAATATGGATATATTTGGTGAAGCGATGCGCTTAAACCAATCGAGGGCAAGTAGAATGTTTGATGTACTAGGAAGAAAAGTCCTAACATTAATCCTACTTACATGTTATGGTCATGAGCTTCTTTGCACGAAGTAGCCCCTATAAGAAGTTTATAACACCTTTGATTAAAAGGAAATGTTAATTTCTTTTAGCTATGTTTCAATCCATCCTTGGATGAAAACAGTTCTCACTTTTCATATTGTTTGTTTGGTAGCTTGTATGTTTGCTTTAAGTACATCGATGACAAAAAAAGCACATCGGGGAGGCGTCATTTGTTTCTTTGTTTTGTTTTGTTTTTTCAAGTTTTTCAATTTGAACACCTAACTGAAGACTTACCAAGTTTATGACCAGCTGTGATTGAAAAATACCTAATCATTCCGATGAAGATTAAAGACCCATGATTGCGCATTTAGTTTCAACACCGACTATATCAATTATATAAGCTGCAACAGTTACCAGCTTGTATTTTGTGATTTTTCTTACGCGAAAAACCAAATTCAATAAACATCTAATTATATTTTTCAAACAATCTGAGTTTGCAAACGCTTGAAGACATTAGACAGACGAGGGGCATAAAAACTAAGCAGACTTTGAAATCGACATGACAAACCCAATACCCGCTACAGATATTTGGTTATCATGTCAACTGCACACGCAGTGGAATGCTCTCAATCATTAAGATCTTTCATGATAAGTATGTGAAATGTATCCAAAATGATTACTCCATGCTTTTCAAAGCCTTTAATCGCATGATGATGTCAATAAGTTCTTAAAATCGTGTCGCCATGTTTTCTTTGTAGTTCTTACTAATCTTCAACTATTGTATAAGGTTTAAAATGCCTAATAGAAGGACAGTGCCATCACTCATGTAGTAAAATTCTTATTTAGATTACGTATTCATCCAGATTTTCCTTTTTTTTCGATCCCAACGTTTACCTTTACATTCTCGTCCGTTGTTTCCAGTGAATCCATATTTACATACACAATTGTATGACCCTTTAATGTTTTCGCAAAGTGCACGAGGACTGCAGGTGTGCGACATGCCAAGACACTCGTCGATATCTCCGAAAAGAAAAATAGTGATAAAAAATAGACAAATCTAAAAACATTCAGGAAAATAGGGGATTTTCAAAATCCTTTGAGGAGTGCGTAATCACGAAACTTGTAGGGATGAAAGGGTAGCCTTTGCGTTTTCCTGACTCGATATATAGATTTATATATATAAATATATATATATATATATTGTGGGAGGAAAAAGACAAGTAAACTACAAGTTCATCCCTACAAGCCTGTTTNTAAAAAACCCTTCCGAAACAGATCTGTAGTGAGAAGTTTTAGTGCGAAGTTTTAATTTTTATTTTCCTACATATAATTGTTTACAAAGCTCCATGACTGTAGAGCATTCTCCGATTCAAGGATAAGGTTTTTTACGTTTATACCTATACATTATATACATATACATATACATATGCATATGTTAGGAAATCCGCCTCGTTTGCTTAACTACCCCTAAATTAAAGCTTACCCTCGCAATTTCTTCCCCTTCCAGAGAATCCAGGTTTACACGTACAGCTGTAAGACCCTTTAGTATTGTTGCAATAGGCATAAGGACTGCAGATGTTTAACCCCACGACACACTCATCGATATATGAAGACATTAAACCAACAAACAAACAATTGACGAAAACATATACATGATATGATAGTTCCGCAACATTACTTGCTATTTATATTTAGTTTGGACAGCATTGATATTTGTTGTTTAAAAAAATGAAAAACGAAAGTCCTCTTTTCCTTTATCAACATCTTAGTTTAACATTTTATATAAACCGCGCGCAGCGGTTTATATAGCGTCATATAAGGAACCGCTCGACCAATCAGATTGCTGGAAACTCTTTGTTCAGCTCTGAAATTATACTAAATATATATATATATATGTGTGTGTTGTCGAGTAGAAAAATACGACGACTACGCTTTTATCGGGATAAAATACGACGACTACGTATTTATCGGGATAAAAACGTAGTCGTCGTATTTTTTTTCTCATCATATATAGCGCTCTACTTTTTTGTATCGAGCACGGTTATGCGGAAAAATCGAAACGCACACTTCCTATATAAATACATACATACATGCACACATGCATACATACATACATACATACATATACACACATACGCATACACATACACATACACATACGCATGTACATAATACATATATATACATATACCTATACATTAAACAATTATATAGGAAAATAAATATGAAAACTTCGCACTAAAACTTCGCACCACAGATCTGTTTCGAAAGGGTTAAAAGTCCTCGAAAGGGTTAAAAAACCCTTCCGAAACAGATCTGTAGTGAGAAGTTTTAGTGCGAAGTTTTAATTTTTATTTTCCTACATATAATTGTTTACAAAGCTCCATGACTGTAGAGCATTCTCCGATTCAAGGATAAGGTTTTTTACGTTTATACCTATACATTATATACATATACATATACATATGCATATGTTAGGAAATCCGCCTCGTTTGCTTAACTACCCCTAAATTAAAGCTTACCCTCGCAATTTCTTCCCCTTCCAGAGAATCCAGGTTTACACGTACAGCTGTAAGACCCTTTAGTATTGTTGCAATAGGCATAAGGACTGCAGATGTTTAACCCCACGACACACTCATCGATATATGAAGACATTAAACCAACAAACAAACAATTGACGAAAACATATACATGATATGATAGTTCCGCAACATTACTTGCTATTTATATTTAGTTTGGACAGCATTGATATTTGTTGTTTAAAAAAATGAAAAACGAAAGTCCTCTTTTTCTTTGCTTTTGCGCTTCGCGTTTCACCGCTGTTGGGGCTCTTCAGGCATAGCCAAACGTGTTTATTGACTTATTACGTCACAGATCTAGTTATAATTACAATAATAGTGTCTATTGAAATTCTCCTAGGAGAAACGGGTGATGTCCTGAGAAATAGAGTGACAGTTCATAAACAACAAATTAGAGATCCACAGTTCATAAACAACAAATTAGAGATCTACACACACGTATGCTGGGAGTCAGCAAGCATGTTGATGAATATGCTGCGGGATTGACCCCTCAGTTCACTATCTTTCCGTTTTACATGATTCCCGGCCCTTCCGAGGTCATGAGAAAGAACAAAGAAATATTTTTTATTTCGAAATATAAACCCGTTCTAATGATTTGAAATTAAGTTAATTGCTCGCGCGTGCTTCGATTTATTTGCTATTTAACAAATAGAGAAGCCTTGACTATGCTCTGTTCTGTAGTAAAGCACGCAGGAAGAGGCTAGAGCACGAAAGAAGTGTAGGGAGAAACACGAGACGTAGTCGAGTGCTTCTCCCCACTTCTTGAGTGCTCTAGCCGCTTCCTAAGTGCTTTACTACAGAACAGAGCACAGTCAAGGCTTCTCTATTTGTTTTATAATAAAGAGTCCGTGAAATTCCCCACGCATTACTTGAGTTTTCAAACAAACTTTATTTTCAAAGCGAACAACAGTGTCGTCAGCATGCTCTATACTCTGACAGAGCACTCTTACATAAGCCAATCAAAATCCTTGTTAGAATGGGCAATCTAATTTGATTGGATGAACAAGACCAAAGCTGTCAAAATGTCAAACCATCAAAAGCAATTACGAAGAATCGCAAATCTTACTTTATAATTCGAATTCATAAACTTGCATTTTTTGCGTACAAAAGCCAGTATCTAGTAACATGATTAATGAAATCCGGCCGAATCTTGGCCCATAAAAACCTGGACGTTATCAACGTGACAATTTGAAAACAAACTGCTTAAAGCTTGTGGTTGGAACTTGACAAACTGCTGCGCTGTGCTGTTCTGTGAATAAACAACGGTCGAATTTACAGCAGCGGGAGGATTTTCTGAACTGGTGGCTACATCAGAGGAACTTGGCTGCGGTGGTCTTCTATTCAATGCACCAGAGAGGAATATCTAAACAAGCCCTTAGCTCTTCACTGGATGGACGAGTGTTTTAATTCCTCAGGCTAGCCTCACTGCGATGACCAGAGATCGCCATTATGAGGCATTCGAGGCCGTCAAAAAGTGAATCCTTTGATGTTGAAAACATCCTGGCCTCCTTTTCTACACTGCTGAGGTCTTCAATCCCCCTGGATGGTTCTTAGTAGCCTCGTCATGGGTCATTGAAACGTATTCCCGTCCGTTGTCGTCTAATAAGAACTGGAAGCTTTGCTTAGTCAACTGTCGCTGACCTTCGCGTCCTCGATGACACCAGTACTAGGTTATATGAAGCCCGATATTCCGCAGAAGACCCCAAGGATTGTCTCCCCGGATTGTATTTGACGACTTCAACTTTTGGAGGTCTGCTTTTGGAATTGGAGGTTTTTGTTTTGTATTTTCTTTGTTCTAGCGCTTGTTTAGCTTTATCTGACTCTGGAAGTAAATTTAGAAAATTTAGTAAATTTGCGTCCACTCTATTCGAGGTTTTCATGTGGTATTTATTATATTTTTGCGACAGAAAAACTCACCTTCAAAAATTCGGATAGCCCATTTGGTGGATTGTTTGGTTTTCTTTGTTTCTGTTCTTGTATAAATTATGTCGTCTATTTCTGCACTTGATATGTTTTCAAATCTTTGCCTGTTTAAGTTGCCGCCGCGCTCATTGTTTTCATAATTAACTTCGTTGGAAACCTCACTTTCAGCTAACGGGTAGGTCGCACTGTCATTGACAGTATCCTCTAAATCGATCGACGCTACTACCTCAATTTTTCTTTCATCTTCTAGGTCGTAGAGGACTTCTGAGTCAAATAAAAACCCGAAAGAAAAATGTGGGATTTGATCCATCATGTTACAAATTGGTAGATGGCGTGACAGCTTCAACTCCATGTTCTGTACTCTGATAGAGCACGCCCTTTCAACCAATGACAGCGTGCGTTATATCCGAACTTTATTATAATTATATTTAGTTTGAACAGCATTGATATTTGTTGTTGAAAGAATCAAACACTAATACTTTTCTGTTGCCAGAAGAAAACCTCCTTTCCAACAAAAAAGGAATGGACCTAGCAAATCAAAAACTTTGGAAAGAAAGAATAATTTGCTTTGATGTGACTTCGTTGATATACATTTTCCTGCAGAGAAGATGGATATTTCGGTCACTATCGCTTCCGTGGACGACTTTCTCATGTGAGCTTCATTATTACATCACATTTGCAAATAAATTTAACGCACACCTTTACAGTCTCGTCCATTTCCTTGGAACCCATCTTTGCATGTGCAATTGTAAGAACCTTTGGTATCGATGCAAAACGCATCATCGCTGCACTTGTGTAGGTCACGAACACATTCGTTGATATCTGAACAAAAAGAAAAAAAATGAACAAATAAAAACAAAAAATTATTCGACAAATAAAATAACAAGCAAACAAACAAGCACCAACAACCATGAAAACATCATTAATATGGTAGACAGAGTTTTTGTTTCTTATGATCACTATTTGTCTATCTGCTTTGTATCGATTTACAAATTAAAAGCACCGAGTGAGAGAGCTGTATTCAAAATTTAACGGTCGTGCAACCATCCAGTAAGTCACAAGCAAGACTGACTTACGAAACAGTCATATCTTCCTATTTTCGTTTATTTGTTTATGGTTTGTTTTGTTTTGTTCTTTTTTTCAATGCGGAAAGCTCTGCGTGTGGGTAAAGATCTGTTTGCCTGTGGCTGCTTCTTTCCACTTACAATATACCCCAGAAAACGATATGTGAAGACGAATAAGACATCGAAGGTGGCAAGAAGTTAAGAAAAAAATAATTCGCCATCAGTGAGTTCTATTGGTGAACAAACCGCAGCAAAGACCTGTTGTACTTTAGTTTTAAATGAATCGTAAGAACAATTTAAGCAACAAAAGGACAGAAAAAGCTCTGTTGTTAGAGACACACTAAAAAAGTAGCACTCAAGTTTTTCCTCGTTGTTGTTAAACTAAAGTGCTCAAAATATCAAAATAAAAGTTGTGTTTACCTTTTCCACAAAGCGGACCCTCAAATCCCACGGTACAGAGACACCGGTAACCTTTCTTAGTGAATCCACTTTGACAAGTAGCATTATTCTTACAGGGATTTTGAACACAATCACTCTGACCGAAGAAACAAAATGTTGTCATTGTCATTATCACTATCATCGTTATAATCATTTTTATCATTTGATAGTCACCCGCACCGCTGCTGTCATCGCTATCGCCATCGTAATCGTTAGGATCATAGTTGTCCTTGTCATCAAAATTATTAGTTCTTGCTAATGCTTTGGCCAATGTTACTTATATATCTAGTTCTCTATTTCTTCACTAACTTTGAAACACGTTGTATTTGAGAAGATATCGTTATAGAGTACAGACACAATATTACTTCTAAAGAAAGACTGAAAACAACTCAAGTACCTTGGTAATTTTTTAGGAGATCATGAGATTATGAGTTCTAAAAAGAAAAAAAAATTAACCAAACTGACTTGTTAATTGAAAGTTATATTTACCTCAGCGGCGTGGTACGAATACTTCTCTCGGTCTATCAACTTGTCTTCGTGTCCTTCGTGAGTAACGTTATTCAGTTCACCTTCATAGTTTCCATTTCCATCTGCAGGTGTATAAAGATTAATGCTGACACAATCGGGCTCCATATAACACAAGTTTTCGCAGAACCTGGCAACTGTTATTACTACGGTGCGAATGGTGTGGTTAATGAGGCGTTTTCCGTCAAATGCTTTCTCAGGCCCGAACTCCAAATTGCGACACTGGTCTGCGATACAGCTGTCTTTGAAATGAAAATAATAACTACAGTAAACGTAGTGCTATAACTTATATTATGTTTAGCATTACGGAAAATATTGTAATGTTACGGTAATTGTTCAAAAGAAAAAGATAAATGAACTTCATGACTGTGTCTCGGGTTTACATACCTTTCTCCTAACTCCCATCCCCTCCCCCCTCGTGTTTAGATAAGAGTATATAAACGCTGTAAAAGTTCTCTAGTGCTCTTAAATTGTAAATTATTTCAATTACGTTTTGCTTCCCCAGACTTTCATTTCAAGTCTGACAGAAACGTTTCCTCTAAGCCGATTGAAGGGACCCGGCTTAAATGTGCCTACTTGACTTTTGGGCTTTTCTTCTTCCCATGATAAACACAATGGATTTTCTTTTCATTGTCAATCTTAAATGTAACTTTAAGGGCTTGCTTTGAAGAAAGCTCGCGTTGGGAAGGGAGAAGAATAAGGGGCTTCAAACTCTTTGGCAGAGGTTCTGACGCCGACTTTGTAATCGCCTGTGCCTCGTTCTGTAAATTCTAACGCAATACACATTCGTAAACAAGAATGTAATACATCTTCAAAGTATTATCTGTAGGTTGATAAATGAAGTTTTTTTAACGGAAATTCTTCAGTGAATATATGTGGATAACGTTAATTTTCTGACTCAATAATGAATTTTTATAAATTTTGGATGAAATTTCCACAAAATTAACGATGACTCAAACTCAGGGTAGAAATAACTTGGATATGAGTCATACCGAAACTAACCTTGTGATCTGACAACCATGAGCATCATAAAGCAGAGTTGCAATAAAAGAAGGGAGACAGAAACGGAATACATGATACAGAGCACGGCTAGAGAAGTTTTGCCGGACTCATTAAACGTATGCTCACGTCGGTAAGATACGAAGTCTTTTGTTTTTAATAAGATTCACTATAACAGGTGAATTTTGAAACAATAGAAATTGCAGTCAAACCGTTTCATATGTCAGTTTTTCTTTCCATACAAAATTGTTTGGTTAGAATGTTGCTTTGTTTAGCAATAATTTGCCTGTCAATATCCATAATGAAGTTTTGTCACATTATCCTGGGGTCTGACATGTTATCATGAAAAATTGATAAAATAACACGTAATTATGCAACTGCGTTAGTCGTCCGCCAATTCGCCTCTACGAAAACCTTCATATCCATATATCCGTCACTTTTTAGGAATGATTACTACAATTTCCGAAATAACACGCACACTGATATAAAAACCTTTATTGCTGAATTAAGATAAATTGGACCGTCCAATTTTTGTTTCTTTTAATTGTAGACCACTCCGTTTAAAAACAATTCTTTAGGGTGAAAGAATTGTTTTAAACGAGCTGGTCTAGAATTGTAAAAAAAGTAATAATAATAATAAGGCTTAAGTCACTCAGTCTCCTACAATTTTTTTTATATTCAAAAAAAGTTTTGGAAACGTTTTTTCTTGTAAAGGTTGCAAAATTTCTGTCATAATTGACTAAATTGAATCCTCGTTGAAAATCCCAGCTCTAAAGAAACGCATAGATGTAAATCTAGTTTGTGAAAATGAAGCATTCATTTGATGACTTTCTTGTTTTTTTTTTTCGCTTGGACACATTAATTCACAGCAGCTGGCATTATGAGCCTTTGTTAAATTAGATAATTATCATGGTTTTTTTTTCGGTGCTGCTGAGAACTTCTGTGTGTCAGGAAATTAATTCCCGATAATTTTCAGCATCCGCTTTAAAGTGTCTATACGGCCAATAGGGTTTTATTGTTTTGGTATCTCTTTAAACTGTATAAGAGTATTCTAAAAAAAAAAAATTTGATTCTGACGCCTCTTCACCCTAAAATCGAGCTCTATAGTTCCCGCTTCGGCCACGCCCAAGGAAGTTGACCGCGTAAGGGAAGATTAGTAATGAGTGATGTCACTCCAGCAGCGTCTCGAGCGTCGTGTTGTTACTTTGCTTGACAAACGCAGTACTTTTACAACACATCTATCGCGCATATTTATGTCGCCGAAAACTCTTTACCTTACTGAAAAAAACAGTGAAATGAACCACTGGCGGGATTTGGCGCGCTCCTGACTTGACTTCAGGACCCATTCTGAACCCAATCTCTTTTTTGCCACGACTCACGGTCACCTTCAATGGGCGTGGCCAAAGCGGGAAGTTTACAGCTCGATTTCAGGGCGAAGACTCGTCAGAATCCAATTTTTATTTAAGAATACTTTTTTACATGTTAAATACATACCAAATCTATAAAAACCTTGTTGGTCGTATAGACACTTTAACATAACATAACACATAGCATAACATTTATTCAGGAAGTTACAACGGAAATACAAAAAAATACATCCTGAAAAGAGAAAATCGTGAGGTTAGCCCTGTATAAAAACAATTTCCCTAACTAAAAGCATACAATAGATGAATTTTAATGGCTACAGACTCAATAAATATTCAATAAATATTCAGTGAATATTCAAATAAATTTTAAGCTTCAGGATATAAGGTTTTTTTATTGTAAGCAATGAATCTAGACAAACTCATGACCATAAAATATATGTTATTGACCAGCCGGAGGTCCGTATTGAGAAAAACTTGGCCGAGGTCTTGGGTACCGCCCAAGGCCATAGGCCGAGGGCGGTACTCAAGACAAAGGGCACAGTTTTTTCCAATACGGACCGACCTACGCGCATAAAAAAATGATTGCCTTAAGAACCCGCATAATTTATGGCTACAATTACGAGTTTAATTAATTACGGGAAAATCCTACTTAAAGTTAACAATTTATTAGCGAGTGGATGATAAAGAAAACTTAAGAGGAAACCTTCACCGAGACATTTTAATTTCTTAGCGTAGCTTAAAAGGCTTCCGAGCAAACTTTGAAGCATTTTTTGATAAGTAACTGTCACGATGTGAATCGGTTTTTCTTCCACCGAAAAGCTGAAGCCAATGAGACTCTTTCCAGCTAGATACAAGGGGATTTAATGCGGCTTTTATTCATCGAATTCCTTCGGTTACTGTTGTGGAATTTACGGTAAAAATGTCCAAAATTCAAAGGACTTGCAAAGAATAGGCGAAAGTGCATTTATAGAAGAACTCAAAACTTCGCTCATCGTTTCACAAACGAACAAATTGTGTTGAAGAATTCAGGTATTAACGATTGAGAGTCACATCGATTAACATAATCGTTAACTGCAACTACAGTCTCGTTTTAACTTTCTGAGTTACTTTTTGTGAAGGGTTATTAAAAAACAAATCGTTTCTAAGCCGCGTTTCAATCTTTTTATAAACAAATTTAGTACCACAAAATTTATTTCGAAGTCAATTTTTTCCGAAAAACCAAAGTGATTTGAGAGCGAGAGAGAAGAAAGAATTAATATTGTTTATCGCCAAAAGGTCGTGACCGAGGTCTTTGCTCAAAAATTCTGCCCAGCTGGCAAAATGAGATATATCTGTGAAAAATTGCAACGAAGCTTGAGATGTTTTGCAAAGTGACTCAACCGAAGCGTATACCGCCCGCCGTGAGCGGGCCGGATGGGGAGAATACTGCTCGCTCTCGGAACCAATCATATTGCAGGATTCGTAGAATACCACCCGCTCACGAACTGAGAAAAAAATAAGTTGTGATATTTAGCCAAGTTATGAACTTTCACTAAATACGCAAGTTTGACTTCTTTGATCGCAGAGATCGTTGGTAAAACGAAAGTTGTTATAGTTAAAATTGTTGATTTTTTTATCATTATTGTAACCATTCTTTTATTTATATATATATTTTTACCTTAAGAATAAAAGTTCTCATTTGAAAACGATAAACTGCTTTGCATTTACTGAACTATCAAAGCAAACTCTTTGTTACGATTCCATCGGCAAACGTTTATCTGATCCATAAATAGCTCAAGCCCTCTAACGAATGAAGTTAACAAGGTGAGTGCCCAATCCATTTAATCTCTAATTCTTCTTTAAAAAAAGTGGAAAAAAATGTTTTTTAATCATCACAGAGCACCGTAGGGAATCCGAAATGTTTAGCGATTACAGGAAATTATTTCAGCGTCTTATTTGCACATATGCAAAAAAATGACCATCAAATAGAAGAAAATGTATTTTGAAATAAAGTATTTGTAGAAAATCAATTGATTTGGCGTACGAAACAAAGTCTTTTATCAGACCTATTAATATGCTCATCAACAAACATATGAAACATATGTGTGAACTGCGGTTATGAGACGTATATGAGAACGATCCTTCGCAGTAAAGCACTATTTGAGCAATAGTGAAAATCAGACCTGAAAAAAAAATTTCAGGCCTGTACGGGATTCGAACCACTGACCTCTGCGATACTAGTGCAGCGCTCTACCAATTGAGCTAACAAGCCAACTGGGAGCAGGCCATCAAATTAATTCGATATAAACCCGTAGATGATAAATCAAACAACAACAAACATATGAAACATATGTGTGAACTGCGGTTATGAGACGTATATGAGAACGATCCTTCGCAGTAAAGCACTATTTGAGCAATAGTGAAAATCAGACCTGAAAAAAATTTCAGGCCTGTACGGGATTCGAACCACTGACCTCTGCGATACTAGTGCAGCGCTCTACCAATTGAGCTAACAAGCCAACTGGGAGCAGGCCATCAAATTAATTCGA